TTTTGATAATCGTCAATGCAAATTTAAACTTTAATTTTAAAAAATGCCAACTCCACACAAATTTCAAAATTTCTTTAGTTTAGTTTCTAACCCTAATAATAAATCTAATACAAAAGCAGTATGTATTTTTTGTAGTTCAAAAAATGAAGGAGTTTAAGCAGCAGCATTAATATCAGAATGTTTTACAACGAATAAAGCTAATTTATGTCACGCTCATTTAGCAAATTGTATCTATTTTAAAAATTCATATACTAGTGAAAAAATTTTATCTCAACTAGTACCAGAAGATAAACGAAAATTAAATGAATCAAGTATATATATAATTTATAATAATAGTTACGTAAAAATAATTTTTTTTTTATAATAAAGATAATTTTTTTTAATAATAAAGATATTGATGATGATGAACTTCTGCCTCCTAAATATTGTAAATTTACTTCAACTATAAATAATACAGCTTCATAATCAACTTTATCTAATTAGTATAATAAACTTATGTCTAATAAAGATATATCTACATTTGAGACATTGGTAGTTAAAATGTGTATTTCAAATGGTCTTCCTTTTTCTTTTATGAAAAATGAAGTAACAAAAGCAGTATTTAATTTTGTTTCTCTTGGTCTTAAACTTCCAAATCGAAAAAAACTTGGTGGAAAAATTTTATTAAAAACAATAGAAAATTTTCAAGAAAATGTACTTAAATTAGTACAATCAGATGAAAATGAATTAACTGCTACTTTTAATAGATGGACAAATGTAAAACAAGAAAATATTTGGGGTGTTGTATTAATTACTTCAAAAGGACAACCTTTAATCTAAGATGTTAAAGAGATAAGTTCTGAATAATCAAGAACTAAAGATGTTATAAAACATATTGAATAATTAATGGACGAAGCTCAAAATGAAAAAAAAATTAATATTAAAGCATTTGTATCAGATTCTGCTGGGGAATATACTGCTGCAAGATAAGATAAATTAAAAAATTGTATAAAATAGTTTATTTACATTTTAATTACTAATTAGGAAACAATTAAAAAGAAAATATTCTGCAAAAATATTTCTTTTTTGTATGGCATATCAGATGAATTTAGTATTTGGTGATATATTTAAAGAAAATGTAATATTTCAAAGAATTTCTAAAGAATCAGTCTGAATTGTTAGTTATTTTCATAATTCTACATTTTTTATAGGAAACTTGCGAGATGAACAGGAACAAATTTATAAAAAAATAATTAAATTAGTATTACCTAGTAATACTAGATAGAATTCATATTATTTTTGCTTTTATTCCATTTTAAAACTCAAGCTACCTTAAAGGTGATTAATTAAATTTAATTTTATTTATTTAATAATAATATTAGTTTTTATCAGCAAAATTTAATCCAGAACGTGCAAATATTATTTGTACAAATAGTATTCCTAATAGTGCAGTGAATAAACAATCAAAAAGAAGTAATGGATAGCGAAATTACCTGATGATATTGCAGATAGTATTAATAATGCAGAATTTTGGTCAATATTATTTTCTTTACAAAATTTATTATATCCTTTATGTGGATTTTTAAACAAATTACAAAAAGATATAGCACGACTTTATGAAGTAGTACATTATTTTGCATATATCACAAAAATTTTTTCTGAATATCATGATCTAGTCTTTTTAGAAAAAATGATATCTAGAATGGAAAAAAGATGGAAGGATTAGGAATAACTACTTTTATTACTTTCTATTGTACTTCATCCATCTTATCGATTATCAAAATTTCAATCAATAGCAAATGATTTAACTTAGATATATATTGGTCAATAGTTGAAATATTATTATCTTGCTTTTTTGGAATTTCGGCTAAAACAATTTTAACAGAATTAATTAATTATAAAAGAGGAGATGATTCTTATGATAATGATTCTTTTCTTCAATTTCAAGGAAATATATTAGATTTTTGGGAATCAACAATAGGAATTGGATTAGAACTAGCTAAAGTAGCTATTTATATTTATGGTATTTGTGTAAATTCTGCTTCAGTAAAATGTTTATGGTCATCAATGGATTTTTTTCATACTATTAAATGAAATCGTTTAAATGTGAGTATTAATTTAATATTATATTAAAAATAATTAATAATTTTTATAAAAACTTAAAATTTTTTATTTATTTCTTATTATTTAGCATACAAAGGTTCTTGCAATGAATAAAATTTGTAGTAATATTTTATATCAACATTGAATTAAAAAAATTACTCAAATTGATCAGCAAATAAGAAGGCTTCATATCGCAACTCTAATTGCTGATAATTCTAATAATTCTGATAAAGAAGAACAAAATGTTGATAAAAATGATTTAATAATAGTAAGTGATGATGATAATAATATAAAAAATGATGATAAAAAAAAAAGAAAAAAAGATGAAATAGAACCAAATACTGAAGAAAATAAAAATCAATGAAAAGCAATTATTTCTCAATGGATTGAAGAGGCTAATTATAAAAATCAGGTTGAAAATAGTAATGATGAATTGCTGCTTAATGGAGATTTAAATTATGATTTTTTAATAGAAAATCGAAATGTTCATCTAGCTAATGATTTAAATGCAAAATGGAAATTATCTCTTTTTTTTACAAATAGTTTAGAACCACCCTACATATGTTGAAACTTTTTTCAAAAATGAATAAATATGAATAAAGTCTATTTTTACAGTAATAAAATTTAAACTTAATAATTAATATATAAAAAATTTTTCCTGGGGGGTACTGAGTATCCCTCAGATCCCCTTCTTGGGTTTTTTTTTATAATTTTTTTAATTTATTTATTTATTTATTTTATTTTATTTTTTATTTTTATTTATTATTTTATTATTATTTATTATTATTTCTATTTAAAAAACAAATAAAATCGAAATTATATATACTCTTTTTTGATTAGTTAAAATTATATGACAATATCATAAGGTCATAAATATTTATAAATGACAAATGACAAATGACAAATCATGTAAGTCATATAGGTCATATGATGTCATATACCAACACTGGTACATGTTATATTGTAAATCTATATGTAATATTGATATAACAAGGTATTGTGAAATGGAACATGAAAAATTTATCAGTATATGTAATAAAATATTAGTATATAAAAGTTCTGACTGTACTATTATTTTGACTTCATAAACATGTGAGAAGGCAGATGCGAATGAAGAGCAAAGCGAGCAGAAATCCTTGAAGGATAAGAAAATAGATGATTTCTCGACTTGGTAAATAAGAAAATTATTAGTAATAGATCAGACAAAATAATCAGAAATAGAAAACTCATCTTCAGTTTAGAACTTTAAAAATGATCTCTCCATAACTAGCACTGAACTTGTAACTAGTCAAAGAGTTAATTTTAGCATGTAAGACACTTCCAGTTAAGGAGTCATCTGTTGAAACATTGCTAGTGAATAATATAAGTGAAGTTTTTTTAAACTGAACCTCTTTGGAGAAATGAAATTCATGTACAGTACAACGAAACTTCTTGAGAACTGAATTCGGCGGAGGATACACTTGTATGTCTTTATTATCCACAAAAAGAAAATTTTCAATCGTTACTTCGACATTACGCAATGTGTTATAGCCATGAAACCTGGTGAAAAAAGACTTATTATTTAAAAAAGAGGGTTTTCACGAATTAATGACGACATCTTTCGTTCTCTCCAAAATAATTTTTCTTTGCGGGTTAAAAGATTCTGATAATTATATAATCGAAAGAATGACAATATATTTATTTGGAGACAAGTATAATTTAATAGATATAGAGATATATATCATATTTTATTTCTTTGGATAGTGTAGTTAATAACAGACATGAATTTTTTTAAAAATTTTTTATACAGACCGATATGAAAACATTACTTTCAAATATTCAATAAGTGTTATAAGGAATTTAATCCAAATTACTTTTTTTTCATATAAAATGAAAAATGAACAAGGACATTTCATACGTAGAAAGAAAATCATAACAAAAAAAAAAATTTTTTTTTATCCATGCGCGTCCTGAGGTTTATAAATTGTTAAAATAATAAAGAGAAATGACAAAATTAATACAATCAGGAAAGAAACAAAACCAGAAGCAGTAATAAGGTGATTAACGCCAAATATATACTATCGTTACGGATACAAAAAATTTGTCTTTTAGAGAACATTATTATTTAGCATGTCTATTAATTCGTCTTCAAGCTAAAGACAGGAAAGCAGGAGAGGAGCCGAAAGAAGAAAAAACATTTCTATCATACGAAATTTTTTAGTGTGTTTTTGGTACGTTTGTTGGATATGATGAGCAATGTTTGACATATAGCATATAGTAAAACCGGTAACAAATAAATACAAATTGAAATGCTAATCTATCAAAATTAAATCTATGAAATATAAAAAAAAAAAAAAACAAACATCTAATTTACAAATGAAATATTTACAAGTGCGTAAGGTATACAAAAAATATAATGCGTAAAAAGAAACCAAAGTGATAAATCAAAGGGGAAGATATTTATATGTTTTTCGGAAGTAATTTCTGAATTTTTTAAATTCGCGTCCGGGATTGCAGTTGTTAAAGCAATTTTTACATTTCCAAACCGTTCGTTTATTCTTATCAATTATATCATACATGCAAAAGCAATGAAAACTAAAAAAAAAGTTCAAATTATGTTTAGAATATAATGATATCAAAAGGTAAATTCGAAAAAAAATTTTTGTTTTTTTTGTGAGATACTTGCAACAAATCACATTTTTTACATCTCGTCATTTTGGCACATTCATCTTTTATAACTTTAAATTTCTCCCCCAAATCTGTTGACCAATATGCAGGTGCCTTAAAAGTTCTTGAGATTCTACAATCAGGAAAAGCACAAGGTACCTGCAACTGTCTACACTCCGTACAGACATAGAAGGTGTTTGGATCTTTACAGTATTCTTCAGAAACCCCAACGCATTCTGGATGAAACCAGTCCAGACATATCTCACAGCACACCTTAAAATGTAATAAAGATGTTAATATGATCAATGGAGAGAAACCACCATAACAAATTTATAATTTATAATTACCATATCCTCTCCTCCATAATTTTCTACACTTTGTTTACAAACACACATATTTTTACTATTATCTGTTCTCATCTTTTTCTTTTCTCTTGCTTCTTCATAGTAATCTTTTACTTCATTTAAATGCTCCTCTTCTCGTTCCGCTTTTCTCTTGCGTCCTACATAATAAGAAAAATATCTACCGTAAGTATATTCCGTATGCTGCGCCAAAGATGATATGATGATCAGGAAATTACCATGGTAAATGAGAATATCATCCTCCTCTTCCAATATTTGTTTAGTGGCGTATCTATCGGTGACGTTATTGCGGCCGCCTTTGTAGCCAATTTTACTACTGCTTCTGCTTTCCTTATCATTGTTGGTATTGCTGTAGTTACTTGCTTTAGACCTAGTATTCATTTTAAAATTTTTTCTTTAACCAAAAAAAAAAGGGTTGTTTCGAAGGTTTTTTCAGGTGCAAAATAGTTTATAAGGTGATTTTTTTAAAGTCCGCTTATTGGTATCATTTTAGCCAAATTTGGATAACTGCATAGCGGACTTTGTGTTAGTAGAGAAAATTTTACGTGATTTCTATTAAATTATGTGGTTACACCATTTGCTGCGCATCCCGAATTTAAATACAATGGACAGGGTTCATTAACTCAAAAAAGGATTTTTTTTTTTTTTACTTCGTTTATTTTTTTCATGATATTGTTATCGTTATTACTTAATGCCTTATGTAAATTTGGAAGGACAAATGCTTGCTTCTCATGGATGTGATCTATTTTAAATAAATCCTAGACGAATTAATCAAAGTACTTATGTGCTAGTGATTTGTTTATGATTACATATAAGTCGTCATATGAGGTCATGTTTATTACAAGTAATTCATAAAAATATGTGCTGGATTTTAACGATAAACCACATCGAGATATACATTTCAACCAGAAATTCACAATTAACATCACTTTCTATAAATATTTCTTCCATATATAAATAATATATAAATAAAAATAAAAAGCGTTTCCTTAAAATGAATAACACAACCCACATGCCCACGAACGCAGAGAGATCATCAATAATATCATATAGCATTGTTAAATATCTGTGGCCAGTATACATACGTTAGTTCTCATTGTTGTAATGAAATCTATAGAAATAACTCTACCTGTAAAGAAATTTTGGAATGTAAAAGTGAATGATAAAGATGATGAAGAAATATAAAAGAAAAAGCAAAGTGATGATGCAAAGCAATGGACAAAAAAAAAAAAAAAAAAAAAAATGAAATATATATATTTTAGGGGAAATAAAGTAATACAAATTTTCAAACAAGAAATTCAAAATGAAATTCCTCCCGACATACAACCCTCTTTTCCAACGCAATTATTTCACCCATAATAATACAAAGGTTCATGGAATGGACGATAAAAATCCGAGATTTCTGCGTATTCGATTTTTATAATATCTCTTCCTTGTTGTAGTAACATATGATCAAAATCCACGTCAAAATTTTTTCTAACATATCTAAACAATCCAAATTTTTCATCACCACCACGCCCTTCATTTCTATTCAAAGCAAATTGTAAAATAAGCTTTAAATTTTCATTCCTAATTAATTGATTATTATAAAAATCCAATTCAATTAAATGGTTACATCCCAAATTTTCCAACGTTACCCTTAAGAAATAAGATATGAATTCATTATTTCTTTCATTATTATCATTATGAATATCTAAACCTAGCTTCGATAAAGAATTCGGTAATGAATTGGCGAATGCTACTATATAATTATCATTTATAAAGGATGATAATTTTAGCTTCATTCTAAGATATTTTAATTCCCTCAATACTTCTAATAATTTAATAAATAAGTAAAAGTCGTCGAGCAGTAATTCACACGATAAATGTGTTAAATTGTAACAATATTTGCCTAACGACGTAATGATGCACGGATTAATCTTTCCTAAATTCAATGTTCGTAAATTAATGTTTGTCATCATAAGTGTTCTCTCAAGACCGAGCGTAACAATATTATCGATGACAACGTTTGTTGATGGTACATTCCCGTTAAGATCACAAAGTTGATTTTGGTATTGTTGTTGTTGCTGTAGCTTGTCGTACCAATGATACTCCTGTTCATTCTCTTCACTCACGCAATCTTCAATACAATAAATGCTCTTGATTTTCAATTGATTGAATTCAAATTCTCTTATAACAGACAGATCCCCCCCTTTGCCAACTTCTTCGTTATTCCTTCTCCCAATATCCCCATTATAATTCCAAGCATCAACGTGCATATCATCTCCAACGACCACTTCTTCGGCAATAAACTCCAACAATTCCAAATTAACGCAATTCCTCAACACCTTCAAGATTCTCGCAAGGTTCCTCATCTTTCCTCCAATCTTCAAGTACTTTAAGGTCGTCGCTTGTGAATTAATAATTTCTTCAAACTCACTTAAATTCTCAGAAATTAAAGACTCATTAAACGACAGTGCTTCTAGGCTAAATTGATGTGTTACGAAATTAACAATACTATTAATGACTCGTTTGGTAAAAGAAAGATCATAAGGAGTTGAAATATTGATCGTGATGTATCTAATTGAAGAGGTGTAATACGATAAATTATCGAATAAATCATGTAATTTCTTTTCGTCCTTTTGGTTAGAATTATTTCCCTCAACATAATAATAATCAATCTCAAAGTTCACCAAATTAGAAATAGAATAAGCAAATTCTTTATGTTTAATAAAGACCATCTCATCGTTGGAATTAAGTCTAAAATACTTCAAAGACTTTAACATCGTGGTCGATCCAAATAATAAATTGCTAACAATATACTTTGCATATTCTAATTTATAATTGTAATTCGTCGAGTAATTCAATGGATCAATTAATTTCAACCATTTATCCATCATCATTTGAAATGCTCGTGAGTTAAAACTTGTCAAGTATTCAGGATAAGGAAAAAATGGGGTAACTGGCGATCCAACTGGAATTCCGGAGACGTTTAAATAAGATTTATCTTCATCCACTAAAGAACATATATATGTGCTAATGATGAGTGGTGCTTTAGGGCTATCCAAATCTATATGATCAAAAGGGGTGCTCCATAACAAAGGTATTGCCAAACGACTGAAAAATCGATTGACGAATATACAAGAATGTAATGTTTTTATATCGCTTTTAAAGTTACTAAAAATTTCATTATAAAATTCAACCGGAATCGGGTTATATACATTAGTTTCCATATCTAAGTAAATATTATTCATTAAAAGGAAGGGGGGGTGTGGGAGAGGCAAAAAAAGTAAAGGATTTTGTTAGGAAAAAAGAAAAAAAAAAAATTTCTTTTATTTGTATTGTATTTTTTTGATCTACACAAATTTGTAAAAAACAGGTTTTTTATTGCATATCACAAGGTTGTATGATTTTTTAATAAAGGAAATCTATTAGAAATTTCCCACGATTCAACCAGATTACGTCATTTACTTTACGGGTCAATTTTTTTTTTTTTTTTTTTTTGTAAAAAAAGAATTTCCAACCTCGCGTAAACATTTTCTATTTATGATATTTTTTTTAAGAACGGTTTTTTTGGAATTCAATGATCTGCAAGGGAAAAATTGAAACATTTTATTTCCCAATATACCACAATCGAGGTATGACATGTGACAAATTTATTATTTACTACATATAAAAGGAATAGTTTCTTTTTGATCGCATTCCTCTAACCCTTAATGAATTAAATTAAAATCTGATAATTTTATAATAAGGTCGTTTTTGTTGAAATTCATGTTTCACGAATATTTAAAAATTGAGTATAAAATCTTATCTATATAATCATATATTTTTAGGGAATAATGAACAAGAACTTGCTTGTATCGTATTTTGTTATCAAGTGTCAATGCATCAATTTTTTCTCAATATTGTTTTGGATGTCAAATATTTTGGAATATGAATGAATTTCTTATTAAACTCCTCAATATGGCAAATTCGGAGAACAATAAAAATTGAATTCTAATTATTACAAATAATAAAATAACAAATTATTTTAACTAGTCAATTAATCAAATAATTAACAACAATAATAATAATTCACTAATAATTAAAATATATTGTCTTTAAAATTCGACAAGAATTTTGATCTATTTCTAATTCTTAATAAGAATCAAGGACGATGAACTTTTCTAGTCGTATAACTTGAAAGTTCCAATTTCATATGAATCCATAGAACGCGTGAATCGATTCAATTATCGAACGGTAACCAATTTTTGACCTGGTGCAAAGATTATGAAGGTTGTAGGTTTAGACCGTCAATTTTGTCAATCACATTGTGACTATTGAAAACATACTTGTTCGTGGCTTTGCAATGGTGGCTTCCATCGTATAAACAACAGTCGTGTCAGGTAATTCTGGCTAGGCCTCACAATATTTTCGTCGTCACTAAGAAAAAAGAATTTCCGGATAATATCCAGTAAACGTACTTGAAAGGTTACTGGACCTTTCACATTTCTGGACATACCAGGAACAGTTCCGGACATCTTTTTTTTATTAGACATACGTTATAAGAATTCATTATATGGGCAACATTAAATTTAATTATTTTATAGATTCAAAAAGTAATATTATGGGTAAATATTACGTTAAACGTAATGATTTATAGTAAAGAAATAATCCCGAAAATTTAATACTGATGTAATAAAGTGTAAATTTTTACTATCCGAGAATTGTTAATTCACAAGGTCAATAGGGTCGGTTTACGAAATATTGGAATAAGTTTGATGCAACGCGATTCCTGAGAGAGATTATTGCGTAATGGTTTATTTTTATTTTTTAATCTAAAAATTTAACATTTGTTATTTTGCGTCTCGAAAAAAGGAAATTGTATGGAAAAGACGCATTGTCTTTACCGCCCAAATAAATTATGAAATTTTTGAAAATTTTTTTTTTTTTACATTGGCGTACTTCTGGTACTATTGATGTAGTCTCAATAATTATTTATTGTGATGGGGTTTTGGGTCTAAAATTTATTTTTTAACTTAAGAAAAATGGATCCCTGACCTATTTTACAGATCAGAACACTTGTTTACAACTCAGCTCATATAGAACAATTGAATTTGCAGTTGGATAGACTTTCATAACGTTTTCTGGTATGAGATCATTGTCAATAAGCCATTACGTCTGGTTGCGTAATTCTAGCTTTGCCATTTGCATTTCCAACATACAATTCTCCATTTTCACTTGTAAATGTCATTTCACCATATTTAAATGTTTTTGCTTTTGCACCATTTTCAATGAAACCAGCATAAAGTATAAGAGAATATTTGGTTCGACTAATTCTAAATTTTTTGCTATAATTTTGGAATGTTGACTATCGAATTGTTAGTTGAAATGTTACACCTTGATTAATAGCTGTTATATCTTTAGCCAGATTACCATAATTTTTCATTTTGAAAAATTCTTATAAGCGATGAAAAATTTTCCATTTATGCCGATAATAATGCCATTGGCTCATTGGTGGTCTCAACTCTCGTTATTTTTTTTTTTTGATTCATTCTTGATGTAAAGGTATACAAAAAAAAAAAAAAAAATATTGCACGATATGAATGATCCCGTTACTCGCGGATCAGCCAATACTATGTTAGCCTTCCATCTTGACCTGCATTATATCAGTTCCCGTTTTCGCCAAAATTATAGGTTCTCCCTTAACTCCGATCGAATCCATAAGTATGGTTTCTCGATAAGATATTAGGAATTTCCCAAAAATATCTCTCCAGGTATAAAATGATATTTTAAACTTCTTTCTAATTTGATTGCTGAAGATTATGTATACTCAACTGCAAGATTATTTAGAGCAAAATATTTATATGGACCTTTTGATGATATCGTATCAATCAATTTTGGAAATTCAATAATTCCGGATTATTCACTATATTATCATAAATTTTCTTTAAAGCATCTTGAGCCGTTATTATTTTTTTTTTTTTTTGACAAAATGAGAAATAATTTTGAAATTTTCTTAACATCTTTGCGCGCTAACCAACTTTTTTTTTACTTTCATCATTTTATTTTAATTGTACTGTACAAGCTTAGAAGTTTCTACGCATTCTATATTATAAACTCTGCGCCGCCATTTAATAATGATTACCTTGACACATTTCCAAGTCACTACGCTTACCAAGTTTATTTTTCCATTGTAATTTCTAATCTTTCGCTATTGGTTTTTTAATTTCGCTTATATAAAATATATTATCTTGATTTTATCTATTATGATAACAAAATCTTTAAAGTAATGATAACAGTCAG